GTAGCCGGCTGCTAAAAATAGAAATGAGGCCTGACTTTAACATCCGACAAAAATTTAAGCGAAACCTTCGTGGATACACTCCTCTTAGCTTTAAAAAATGCTTCCACATTTCTTCTTCCTATGGATCTTTCTTTTCCTCTACCACTACTAGCGGATGGGGTACGGATCAAAGTAAGTTCGGTTTCAAAATTGGTGTTGGTGTTAAACTTTTCTCCAGAGTTTAGTTTATTCGCTAAATTTTGCGAATAAGGTTGCATTCGTTTGCTGCCTTGTTGAAACTCTTTCACTGAAAATGTAGTGAATTGAAACGCGTGCGTGCAGACTTTGGCCTGCATGTTAAAATGAAGCGTGTGATGTGGCTAAATATCTGGTTGGTTTTAGATTTGTAGATCCACTAAAATCTTTTAATCTTTAACTGAACAAAAGAAGCTGTATGGATTAAGCAGAGTTGTTCATTCCTTAATTCTAAAGTGTATTCAAATTCACAAAAGATCTAAAACCCAGAGGGAATAGCTTTATCCTTAAAAGAGCGATGTTGTCACCCTCCATCACAACTTGTTGTTGTTGAGTGTTTTTCAAAAAAGTGTGAAAATGATTGGTGCTAGTGAATATTCAGATGGTAAGTATCTTAAAGTATGTGTGTTGTTTTGAAGTAAGTAAGAAAGCATCATAATAAAATGGGTCTATTTCTCATTTCAGACAATGCGGGGGGGTTGCCTCCTTGTCCAAACTGTCACCGATAACCTTTGACTTAACTGTCAGAAGATTTGGCTAACAGATTACCCGAAAACCTAGAAGAAAACAACAACGCAGTACCTTGGTTATCAGCCGTGCAACACTTACACTACCACAATTACAACTGGGATGAAATGATTGCCGGTGACAATGATCTGATCTTCCTCCAATTTCTTGATGAAATGTCACCAAACGATGGAAGTATGGTACAAGATATCGTAACACGACAAACGTTTTTGTTGCATTTCCATGAGAATAATGTTAGAATTCGCTTTGCCACTCGATTTTTAGCTTCAATCAAACACGAAGCTGTGGAAAGATTTATATTTTTGCTTCGCAATGTACAAGCAGTGTAATTGGTTTTCAATTTTAGAGTCGATTTAGGAGCTGTTACGTTCTGTTCTCCTTTGAAAACAGGCAAAGTGTGGACTCTATTGTTCTTTGGTACCGTAGGGACCAAAAGCTGCGCTCTGATTGTTTAGGACCCATGATGGCCCCCTATACTTCTCATATAAGCGGCTCCATCATTGTAGCGCGAAGCGTAGCCCCATAATTATACGATATAGTTGTAACCCATCAAGCCGAAAAAATTTGGACGTACGACCGACCGTACAAGGTACTAATTTTAGCATGCGCCGGCGACTGTACCACGGGCACTATCTTAGCCATTACGCAATGGAAGGGCGAGGTGGAAAGTAATGGGCAGGCGCGATTGCGTGCGTAACTTGGATACCCCATTACTGTGCGCCAGGAGACACCGGCGGATGAAAATGAAGTGCGCATACTCGAGTGTCGAGCTTCAGTGTAGCGTACAGCAGGCGCATGGTTAGGTATTGCACGAGGGCTTCACGTGGGCTAGAATATGTGAAGCCGCGTAAGCAAATAATTTGCAACCCGCGTTTTGAGCGGGAAATCAAACTGGTGAGGTTGTAGTTGAATAGTAATTATCAGTATTTTGCAATATCTAATCAACTCGCTAAGCAAAAATACCCGCAGAGCTAGGTATTTTTTATACCTTGTCAATGGGAGGAAATTGTTATAATTCAAGTTTGTGGAGAGAGGATTTCGAGTGAAATTAGGATGAAAAGAAAGAGACTAAGCCCTACAAAAAAAGCAAGAAGTAAAAGACGTAAAGCGAGTGGGGCAAAACCCTCAAGAAAGTTAAAGAGGACACCAAAAAAACAGAATACGGCGAAAGGAACGCGAAAAGAGAACAAGAAATGACATGAGTAAAAGGCGAATATCTAGCGAAGAGCAATGCGAGAAGGAAATACAAAGACGCTCCTGAAAACAGACTGAGAAGATGTCGTCTAGACCATTGCCGACAACAACTTGTTATTGTCAATAATGCAACATCCACAAAATGTAATGTAAGTTGTGAAGTACCACAGGGAGGGTTGTTTTTATTATATATAAATGATTTTCATTGCTGCTCAGATATCTTTGAATTTCATCTCTTTGCAGATGATGCAAATTTGTTTTATAAAAGTAAAATTCTCTCTATGCTAGAATCAAACATAAATGTTGAATTAAATAATATTCACATATGGC